TGATCTACACATTCATCCACCAGTCTCCATAGCGGCTCAATAACCCATCAGTCTGTTTATCTACTTGACTCCTACTAGCGGAGTTTATTTCATAGCGTCCTCCTTAAACAGCTAGCATGACGACGCACTCGGCTGTTTTCTTCTCTGCACACAACATAATATCCTTTTATTTAATTAGAAAAATATATAAATAATACTCCCTTCACGGCTGAGCGCTTAGAACAGGGTCCAATCCTTCTGTTGTCCAACATCACTTTTTTTTCCCTGTCGCATTTCATGATACTAGACTAAGGTGAAGAAAACAATCGTATTGGGGTTTTAAGACATAATTTTTTTCCCTTTCGTCTCCTCGTTTTCGTTCGCCCGCTTGTTTTCCTTCCTCTTTTTCTCTTTCTCTCTTTCTGCTTGCGCGAACGCGAGCGGAGTGACAGATGGCGAGTCCCTCTTCCCTCGGGAAGGAAATCTCCGCGAATGCAGGCGCATGTCAATCACCGGCTCTCATGTGATGGCTCTTGCCAGTGACGTGCCAACCATATGGCCTGGCATCATAGCTGGTATGTAACCCTGCCTGGTAGCGATGCCACACTGTCTCCGCGCTCTCGGATAACACTCAGAAGCAGACAGCCGCACCTATAGGAGCTTTCGCTTAGGTCCCTGAAGATGGTTTAAACACATGCGCTTTCACCCCTAAAGAACTCCCGCGGAGGTAAGTACGAATATAAACAAATCGACGGAAGAACAGACGGACGAACGGGAAACGATTAAAATAATAAAAATACATAAATAATGCAACTTAAATTTTACACAGATATTTGAATGTATTTTTTGTCTGGGCATACATGCAATTGATTAATGTTTATATAGTAAAGCATCTTAGTTAATTATTCATGTTTTGGATTAATTTTGAATTGATCCTTAATACCGCCTTATTATTTTCGATTCGCCCTTCAAGTTTAGACAACAGAGGAGCTCCGATTCGCACGCCCCAGAACGCCACTGTTAACAGGCGTACAATCTAACATTTCATGCTTACTTGGCTAATCAAACTAAAATAAGTCCTCACGGCCAAGACAAGCAATATCCTGCGATAAATGACGATTCGGAGCTGCCGCTCACACTGTTTTTCCGCGTTTCTTTTCCGTATATTGAAGGGTATATTTAATTAATATGTCTGTTGACTGGATTTAATGAATCACCGGTAATATAGCCGTTCATTAGGGCTTTTCTGTTCGCGTGGGAAATGGCAAGAGAGGTAGACGTTTCTCACCTATATGGCCCTCTTCCCGTTTCGAGGCACTTTTGTATACTTAAGAAATACGATCTAGGCTACTAGTGATATTTTATAGATAAAGATCTCATAAAATGTAGTCTGGGGGAGGGGGGGGGGTGTAATGCATTCGTGTTCATAAGCTGCGTCCCGTGTGATTTTTGAGTGATTGGTTTGTATTTGTGCATTTGCGTAGTTATTTTGTATGCTTTCATTTGAACTGTACATATGCTTAAAGACACGGATAGATGCTCCTTCATGTCTTGGAATAAAATTGCTTCTGTTGCACCAAACCGCTGTAAACAGTGGAGGCAATTCCACAAACATGTCTATTATATTCTTTTACATGTATAATTAAGAAGACAAAGGGGCATATGAGTTTGTTAAAATAATTTATTGCAATTTACCAAGACCAAAAATTCGGGCTATCAAACGACACGAGAAATCAATTTCGCATGGAGAGCTCGCCTTTGTAAAGTTTTCGCCTTTTTAATTTCGCATATCTCTCGAGCCTCGAAATTGCTAAATTAGATTTCGCCAGTGGCGGACCCTGAAGTCACGAGCCATTCTAAGCAGAAAAACAACATCCTCTTGCCACCAGCTTTGTCCCAATAATATTAATCGTATATGGATAAACTATAGTGTTACATTGTCAACAATTAGTATTACAATTTTTCAATACAATGCAGAAATTCGCATGTATGAAAACGCGTTATAACGGCGATTTTCACACGGAGTAGAAATCATATCCATCATTTTTTTATATATTAGTTATTTGAAATAACAGAATGCAATAAGCCGAATAAGTGATGCCGAAGTGGCGGATTATATTATCATAACAGCAACACAAATTTCAGTAACACTAATATTAAGTATCAATATAACAATAGCGTTCGTGTGCTCATGAATACGCACCAGGCTGACTTGCAGAATCAGCGCAAGAATTATTCATTTTAACGTATGACAACACACGAATATTTTTATATTTTGCTTCATGACAGTAATTATGTGAATGTTGTTCGTAACTAGATGGGAGGAGAGTTAGACCCACAGCACGGCGGCATCGAAATTCACCTGCCCACCAATCTATTCGTACTGCTTCACAGTTGGCATCAATGCTACATCGCCAGCGGTATTTTCATTTCGAGGAGAGTCTTCCCAGTCGGGATGGTAAAGAGGGTCCTGTGTGGGTTTTTTTTTTTTAGCGAGCTCTGCTGGAATGCAGCCAGGAGTGATGGAGAAACGGCGTGGTCTCGCACCGCAGCCCACGGGATCTGTTAGGGGCCCCGAGCGGCCGAGACCCACAGAGAGGGCAAGGGAGGGTACGGGGATGACAGCAGGGAATTAAGGAGAGCGACGCCTATGTTTATGTCTGTCGCACTGGTGCTGTCAGAGCCTTTTTATGTTTATAATCCCTTTACTCCTAAAATTCATGTTTATTGCCATTTGATTTGACGACAGTACTGACGCGTCCCTTAAGCGTTTTTCGTTCCTTTCAATCCTTTCAAGACACGCGGCGTTATTTAATCATATTATTAACAATGTCTCCTATACGATTATGAAAGCTTTTCTTCTTTTGCGACCTACGCCATAAGCCGTACATAAGACACCTGTACCATTCGTTTGAATTCTTCGTTGTTATTTCTTGTGCTTTACATTAATCTTAAATACAAATTGGCCTACATTACCATTGGGATATCTGAGGTTAGCTAAGGTTACTTGTGTGTATTTGACTAACTAATTAACGGTGTTTTTGTTTTGTATTCCAGTGTCGCTATGTTGACGAGACTATTCAGTGACCCCTCTCTGATGCCCGAGGTACAGAAGTACTCGGGCTGGGCAGGTGACAGTGAAAGCGAGGACTCCAAAGCCAAGGACGGAGATCAGCACCTCAGGCTGGACGAGGACGATCTTGAGGAAGGAGACCAGAAGGGGATCAGCAGTCGGGCGCATTCAGAAATCGCCGGTGAAGACGAGGACGAAGATGACGGAGACGGAGACGGAGACGAAGACGACGGGGACGATATTACTGAGGGAGATATGCCGAAAAAGAGGGGACCGAAAAAACGAGAGATGACGCAGGCACGCATAGAGCGCTCGAAAGTGCGCCGCCAGAAGGCCAACGCCCGCGAGCGAACACGCATGCATGACCTGAACTCGGCGCTCGATAATCTGCGCAAGGTGGTTCCCTGCTATTCTAAAACTCAGAAACTCTCAAAAATAGAGACCCTACGGCTGGCCAAAAATTACATATGGGCCCTGTCCGAGATCTTGCGTTCTGGGAAAAGACCAGACTTGGTTGCTTACGTGCAGACTCTGTGCAAAGGCCTTTCTCAACCCACAACCAATCTGGTGGCCGGTTGTCTGCAGCTGAACTCCCGGAACTTCTTAACTGAACAGTGTCAGGAAGGAAGCCGTTTCCAAGGGCCCAGTTCGTTCTCCATGCACCCCTATCCGTACCAGTGCTCCCGTCTCTCCAGCCCTCAGTGTCAGTCCAGCTCTACCCCGCATCCTTTAAGGACCCATGGATATTGTTCCACCTACGACTCAGTCTACGCCGGGGGCGCCTCACCAGAGTACAACAGTCCGGAATACGAGGGACCTCTCAGCCCGCCTGTATGCATCAATGGCAATTTCTCGTTGAAACAACAGGACTCCGTCTCGCCTGACGCCGAAAAGAGCTACCATTACTCTATGCACTACTCCGCCCTGCCCAGCTCCCGCCCCACAGCTGCCCACAACCTAGTGTTCGGTTCATCGGGAGCGCGCAGTGGTGTCCACTCAGATAACGTTATGCCTTACCACGACATGCACTTACACCACGACAGGGCGCCCATGTACGAAGAACTGAACGCTTTCTTTCACAACTGAGGAACCCTCGAGTAGCCAACTGCCACGTCCCCTTTTTCCTTTCCTTTTCTTTTTTTCAAGGAAAATATAAGCCCGTCTAATTATTATGAAACAGTTACTGTACCGGATGGAAATTTAAACAGCGCGAAAGACGAGGAGAGATAGAACGGTCATTATCTAAGCGCTTGTTTTTACATTTCTTTGGTGTTATGTATGGCAGT